AGGACTCCAACCCCTGCCACAGTGCTTGTTGACTGATTAATGCCCTACCTAAGTCTAGGACCTTAAAACTTTATGCTTAGACCATTACTATAGCCTCTTACAATGATTTTCATCTACTTGCTCTCCCTAATGCAAAGTCTACTAACAACTTCCCAGTATTAATGGAATAAGGACTCAAACTCTAATCTGGACTCACTTATCTGTTCAATCTTATGAGAGCACAAAGGGGTAAAAGCAGAGGGGAAAACCTGGGGAAAATATGATGAGCATTCCTTTATTCACTCTAGTGTAGGTCATTTGTGGGGAGAGGGCAGGGGAAGATTTCCCACAGAATGATTTAAAACATTGTGCAAATGTTGGAGTATATCACCTAAGGTCAATGCCAGTATTTAGATTCTACGATTTTCTTTCCATTTTCTTCAAATACTGTGCTTCTACGTCCTGGCACTACATCCACTTCTCCATGAAAGAACTGAGATAGACACTATCCTTCCAATTACTCTCGACACCTGGTGGTTATTCTTGGTCCTCTCTTCTATCTCAGCTACTTGTATATACTGCGATTCTTGTCCAGGGTTCATCTAGCCCTAATGCAGAACACATCTTTGTTCATTTGCCTTATAACTTGGTTTCCTTAACTCCAGATCTGCTTTTTTCTCTAACCCATTATTCATTTATAGTTAGGACTGGCACATTTTAGCAATAGTGCAAAATTCTGCCCCACTTTTTTTTTTTTTCCTTTCAAATAAAGCTTACTGGAACACAGCCAAGCTCATTTGTTTATCCACTGAGTAATTGTGTCAAAGATCATGTGGCTTACAAAGCCTGAAATGTTTGTTATCTATCTCTTTGCAGAAAAAGTTGGCTGACCCTTGATCTGTAATAAGAATGGATTTCCTAAAGCCAGATATGACCACTTTGCTGTTTAATTTAAAATCTTTCAATGATTTCTCATTGCTTTAAAAATCCAACAACCTCACTGTAAGAAAACCTAAACGTGGATGCATACTTGCCCATGCTACCTCAAAACCACCCCCTTCTGCTGTTGCACCTGCACTAATGTTCTTTGTGCTTCTCACATTCTGCCAGTCTCCCTCTTGTACTGAAGACCTTTGCCCATGTGATTCTTTCTGGCTGCGATGCCCTCATTCTTCTCCTGCTTTTTATCTTTTCCTTTATCCTACTGTCATGTTACACAGGGAAATCTGTCTTTTTTCAAATCAAAAATTCAATGTCTTTTTCTTAAAGATTATTTCTCTCATTTTCTTACTGGGTCATCCTATTACACTCTCTCACAGCACTCTCAGCATTATTTTTTAAAGATTGATTGATTGATTTGAAACACAGCAGTAGAGAGAGAAAGATAAAGGAGAAAAAAGAGAGAAAAAGAGCTGTTATCTACTGGTTTACTCACTGAATGGGCACAAAAGCCAGGGCTGGGCCAGGCTGAAGCCAGGAGCCAACAACTCCATCAGGGTCTCCCACCTGGGTGGTAGAGGCCCAAATGCATTGGGACATTAGCTGCTACCTTTCCAGGTGCAAAATTGGCAGGGAGCTAGATCAGAAGTGGAGCAGCCAGAACTTGAACCAATTCTCTGATATGGAATGCTGGCATCACAAGCCATGGCTTAATCTGTTGATTAAGTTGCACCAAAACACTTGCCCTCAAATAATTTTTAGAATCAACATGTCAGTGTCAAGATAAGTATCACTGTGGATTTTGATATGAGTTGATTTCAATTTAAACATCAATTATCAAAAGCTGCTATCTTATTAATATTTCTCTAAACTTTCAGTCCTTTCTCTAACCTTTCAGTCTCTAACCTTTCTCTAGTCTTTCAGTCCATGAACATAGAATATTTCTCCATATATTTAAATCTCCTTTTGAGTTTGTTTGCACTATGTTGTGGATTTCAGTGTGTATTTCCTGCACATTATTTATTAAATATATTAATAAGTATTTTATTATTTTTCATGCTATTGTGAACTGGATTTTCTTTTTTTAAAAAAGATTTATTTTTATTTAATTGACAGGCAGAGTTACAGAGAGGTAGAGACAGAGAGAGAGAGGTCTTCCATCCACTTGTTCACTCCCCAGATGGCCACAACGGCCAGAGCTGCACCGGTCCGAAGCCAGGAGCCAGGAGCTTCTTCCAGGTGTCCTACACGGGTGCAGGGACTCAAGGTTCTGGGCCATCTTCCATGGCTATCCCAGGCCATAGCAGAGAGTTGGACAGGAAGAGGAGCAGCTGGGACTAGAACCGGTGCCCATATGGGATGCTGGCACTTCAAGCCAGGGCGTTAACCTGCTGAGCCACAGCCCCATGAACTGGATTTTCTTTATATCATTTTCAGAATAGCTTTAGCTAGTAAATGAAAATATAGTTGATTTTCATATATTCATCTTGTGGCCTGCAACATTGCTAAAGTAGTTTAGTAGTTCTAGTGGTTTTGGAATTTTCTACATATCAAATTATGTAATCTGCAAATATTGGCAAATTTTTGAAAGATTTATTTATTTATTTATTTGAAAGGCAGGGTTACAGAGGGCAGGTATTTCGCTGCATCAGATTAAGCCATGGCTTGTGATGCCAGCATTTCATATCAGAGAACTGGTTTTATTTGTTTATTTGAAAGGCAGGGTTATAGAGAGGCAGAGGCAGAGAGAGAGGGAGAATCTTCCATCTGTTGGTTCACTCCCCACATGACCACAACAGCTGGAGCTGGGCCAATCCGAAGCCAGGTTCCAGGAGCCTCCTCGGGGTCTCCAATGTGGTCCAGGGGCCGAAGGACTTTGGCCGTCTTCCACTGCTTTCCCAGGCCTTAGCAGAGGCAGGATGGGAAGTGGAACAGCCAGGACTCAAACTGGCACCCTTATGGGGTGCCAGCACTGCAGGCAGCAGCTTTACTGCTAAGCCATAGCACCAGCCCTAAAGGCAATTTTAGATACCTTTAATTTCTTTTCAGTCTTCCCATTTGCACTGACTGGAATCTCTGGAAAGATGTTGATTAGAAGTCACAGGAATTTCCGCTGATATTAAGAGGAAGCGTTCAGTCTTCTACTTATTAAGAATGATGATGTTAAGAATGAATGTTCCGGCCGGCGCTGCAGCTCACTAGGCTAATCTTCCACCTAGCGGCGCCGGCACACCGGGTTCTAGTCCCGGTCGGGCGCCGGATTCTGTCCTGGTTGCCCCTCTTCCAGGCCAGCTCTCTGCTATGGTCTGCAGTGGAGGATGGCCCAAGTGCTTGGGCCCTGCACCCCATGGGAGACCAGGAGAAGCACCTGGCTCCTGCCTTTGGATCAGCGCGGTGCGCAGGCTGCAGCGCGCCAGCCGTGGCAGCCATTGGAGGGTGAACCAACGACAAAAGGAAGACCTTTCTCTCTGTCTCTCTCTCTCACTATCCACTCTGCCTGTAAAAAAAAAAAAAAAAAAAAAAAAAAAAAAAAAAAAAAAAAAAGAATGAATGTTCCATAGATTCCTTTTACTTGTTGAGGAAGTTACCTTCTTAGTTTGTTGAGTACTTTTTTTTTTTTTTTTTTTTTTGACAGGCAGAATTAGACAGTGAGAGAGAGAGAGACAGAGAGAAAGGTCTTCCTTTCCATTGGTTCACCCCCCCCCAGATGGCCAGTGCGCTGCGCTGATCCGAAGCCAGGAACCAGGTGCTTTCTCCTGGTCTCCCATGTGGGTGCAGGGCCCAAGCACTTGGGCCATCCTCCACTGCCTTACTGGGCCACAGCAGAGAGCTGGCCTGGAAGAGGAGCAACTGGGACAGAATCCAGGGTGCCGGCGCCACAGGTGGAGGATTAGCCTAGTGAGCTGCGGCGCCGGCCTGTTGAGTACTTTTTCAAAATCATGAATGAATGTTGTGTTTGTCAGATGCTTTATTTACATCTATTGAGATGACCATGTTGTTTTTGTCATTTATTCTATTATTGTAGTACATTACATCTCTTGCTTTTTTAACATAAAGCCAACTTTATATTCCTGAGGTAAAACCCGGTTGGTCATGGTGGTTTGTTATATGTTGCTGTTGCTGGATTTGGCATGTTAGTATTTTGTTAAAGAGTTTTATGTCTATGTTCCTGAAGAAATTGATCTACAATTTTCTCTTCTTGTGATATTTTTATCTGTGGCACTGTGTAAATTTCTTTATATCCTCGGTTTTATACATATACTGTATACACCCACATATACTAAACTGATCCTTAATTGATGATTTTTGCCATTCCAACTAGACTGTAAATTCTATGAAGTCAAAGAAGGTATCTATCTTGTATACTTTTGTATATTATATGTATCATTATTGAATAAAGCTAAACAGGTATGATATTTAGGGTACTATTTTATATCTTGACTTGAGCATGTTAATATTGTCACCTGTATGATTTAAGCATTCATAGACTCCTATGTTCATATTTAGCTGTGGTCAGTATTGTGATGGGTTTGAATTTGTCATTTCTTTTGTCAATGCTTGTGTTGATGAGGGACTATACCTATGCATCTGTCTAGTCCTCTTCTTATTGACCCTTTGTTTCATACTCCAAAGGTGATTTTGAACCCAAAATCTGTTTCTGTCCATGTTATTTGTATTATCTTCAAATTGTACTAAAATACCTCCTTTACTTCCTTAAGTTTATAATTAAGATGTCACCGTAGCCGGCGCCGCGGCTCACTAGGCTAATCCTCCGCCTAGCGGCGCCGGCACACCGGGTTCTAGTCCCGGTTGGGGCGCCAGATTCTGTCCCGGTTGCCCCTCTTCCAGGCCAGCTCTCTGCTATGGCCAGGGAGTGCAGTGGAGGATGGCCCAGGTGCTTGGGCCCTGCACCCCATGGGAGACCAGGAAAAGCACCTGGCTCCTGGCTCCTGCCATCGGATCAGCGCGGTGTGCCGGCCGCAGCGCGCCGGCCGCGGCGGCCATTGGAGGGTGAACCAACGGCAAAGGAAGACCTTTCTCTCTGTCTCTCTCTCTCACTGTCCACTCTGCCTGTCAAAAAAAAAAAAAATGTCACCGTAGCTTTCTGTCTTAGTCCATTTGGGCTACAATATCAAATCCCATGAACTGGATGGCTTCCAAACAGCAAAATATTATTTCTCACTCTTCTGGAAGCTGAGACGTTCAGAATCAAGATTTGATGTCTCGTAAAAAGGGCTGCTTCCTGGTTCATGAAGGGTGTCTTTTTGCCATTACCTCACATGGCAGAGAAGTTGAGGGAGCTCTCTTGGCCTGTTTGACAACGGCATGAGTCCCATTCATCAGGATTCTGCCCTCATGACCTAATTAGCTCCCAAAGGCACCCTCTCCCAATGAGATCACATTGGAGCTTCTGATTTTAGCATAAGAACGTTGAGACGACACGTTCAGCCTCACAGCACTTTCTTTCCTGACTGGTACACAGAAGTTGACTTGGTTGTTTTGGTCTGTTTCATTTTCCAGAATGCAGCTGAAATTGTCTCAACCAGTTTGTTGTTTACTGTTTTGTGCACTGTACCTCTCAGCTGATGGGTCCGGTGGAAGATCACCATTCTCTTGGTCACCCGTAAAACCTTACAGCTTTGCTAAGCACTCAAATCATCCTCAACTTGTTCATCATCTGGTTCCAAGTTTAGCTAAAGAACTGTCTTGTTGTCTTCAGCATGTTCTCAGTAGTCATCTCAATTTGAGTGTTGACCATTGTGGCATTATTCTTACACATAAATACTAATCCTACTATTTTAGTTTCTTTGGAGTAGAATAAATAAGGCAGTTATAAGCCTGTGCAACACACTCTGACACCCACCAACATAAACATCCAGTGGGCTTCTTTCTTCATAAATAAATGATGATATTATCTTTAGAGCTTAGAATTAAAAAGTTGTGTTTTGACTGGTATTTTATAGAGACATGGTTAGGAATGTGCCTAGACTGCCTAGATGCCAACTCTAAGTCTGCTTCCTAACTTGTAGAACAAAGATGATAACAATTGTACTTTATTCTTGAAGATTGAGTGACAGAACTTTTGTAAAGCACTAGCAGAGTTCCTGACATACAATAAGCTCACAATATGTTGTTATTATTAATGCTGATCTTGGGATAAGCATGCTGTCTGCATTTGTAGGGATTTTTGTATGACAGGAAATCATTCGTGACCCCTCATGCAAATGGCAAAGGGTTAGAAGATGAATTTTCGGTGAAACACCTATTTCCTTCAGTCAGACACCACTAACAATTAGCATTATCTCTGAAAAGGAGACATTTAGGATTAAATTAATAACATATAATGGTTTTCTCCTGGCTTTTGACTCCAAATAGTTGTATCCAACTAACAGAATTGAATTTTTGTTAAATATTCTGCAAGTAAAGTATTGCTTTACTCATCACTTTGTCCTGTATCCAGGCAAGGGAGCTTGGTTCTATGCACAAGATTGTAGACCTCCCATACTGCAGCTTTTCAGGACTGTGGTTTGGCTCTGTGGATATTCAAAATTGCTAGAAAATTTATCATGAGAAAATGCTGACTCAAAATGCCTGTATCCTTGAAACAAAAGTATATGTCGAAAGATCATTGTCGGTACTGGCATAGCTGTAAAGAAATTATAGAATTCAGTTTTGTAGAGAACCATATGGGCTACAAAATATCTATAACATGACAATTCCTAGTATATAATGAATGACATATACAAAGAATTTCTAACTTCAATTTGCTATTTTCTATAACTAACCTCACTCATAGAGTCAAGTCCTCAAATGATTGTCTGTCTGTAGGAATTTTTACTGCTCCTTTTACATGTCTTAGTTTATTTGTTAAAAAATATAGGAAGCCCCTCATTATTTTGCTTGTTCAACTGTCAAAATACAGCCATCATTCTTACCTGGAAAGATATCTAGAATATGCATGAAGGGACTTAGTAGTTCATGGAAAGTGCACATTATCTTTTAATTCCATTTTTCATGAACTCTTGAAGTCCCTATGTATGAAGGGTATAATATTTATTGAAAAGTGTATATGTGTGGTATGTGTGTGTGCAAGAATATACATCTAGAAATAGGACAAGTTAGGAAGGTTATGTACTAAATAATTTCTTCTGGTGGACATATGTTTGAAGAGCAATGGGATAAGAATGTTCACTTCCTTTATTAATTAATAAAACAGGTGCGGTGTCTAATTTACTTGTTTGAAAGTTTAACTCCAAGGTCATGAATAGCGAAGGGATCCAGAGTGAAAGCAGGAAGAGCAAACAGGTGGCATCTCAGTGAATGGTGCTGTTGGCTGGCACCATAATGAGATGAAGTGAAAATGAAGGTGAAACCCTAGATTTGGAACACATTTTTCATGTAGAGGAAACAACTTACTGACAGAGAAGGAGCAAACTGAGAACAGTGGAATAAAGGATGACCCTTAGAATTGGGGCTTGAGAAATTGAATAAATGGTGGTGTTGCGTCTGAGCTCAGAGTCCGGCTCATTCAGACAGGTGTGCAGCACCACCAGGGCCTGCTGCACATCACTGTCCTCCACTGTTTACCAAGTGCTTTCCACGGACAAGGCATCAGAGGTTTAGGAGTAATTTAAAAGGACTCAATCTCATGAAACTTAGAGGGAGGAACTAGACAATAAAATAAATAAATATGGAATAAGCCACACTATGTAATAGTTCTACTAGGCATCACTAATACATTAAGTTTATTCATTTAAATAATAGTTATAGTAGGTGGTACTATTCAGCTAGCCATAGACTAGAAAATGAGTTGGTGCCTGATCGTATGTGCCCTGCTAAAAAGTCTGATTTTCACAATGTATTGTTTTTGGAATATAGAGATTTGAATGAACTGAAAAGTGAGCTGTGTTCTGGGTTGATGCTGCCATTTTGTGGTACAATCTTTGTTTTCTAACAAAGTCCCTGAAGGAATTCAGAATTTCTTGGGCAAAATCAGTGATTTAGCATGTTTAAGCATTACTTTTATTAAGAACTGTCTCCTTCACAAGACTCAGTGAAATGAAGGGGATCAAACATCTAAGCCTGGTGTTTTTTTTGGGAAGAATAAAGAGTTTTCTTCAGTGAGTACACTTTTTTCCTGAAAATTTATTTTTTTGCTTGATAACTGGCTCTAGATAATTTCATATGAGTCATTTCAGAGAATTGCTTTTTATTTTGTTCAATTGCATCTTTTTTTCTATGTCATGATTTTTTCTTTTTTTTTTTTTTAAAGATTTATTTATTTATTTGAAAGTCAGAGTTACACAGAGAGAGAAGGAAAGACAGGGAGAGAGAGAGAAAGGTCTTCCATCTGCTGGTTCACTCCCCAGATGGCTGTAATGGCCGGAGCTGTGCTGATCCGAAGCCAGGCGCTTCTTCAGGGTCTCCCACGCAGATGCAGGGGCCCGAGGACTTGGGCCAACTTCTACTGATTTCCTAGTCAACAGCAGAGAGCTGGATTGGAAGTGGAGCAGCCAAGACTTGAACCAGTGCCCATATGGGATGCCAACACTGCAGGCAACGGCTTTACCTGCTGCACAATGGCGCCAGCCCTCTATTTCATAATTTTTTAACTTTTATCTTTATTATTTGTTCCATTTTATTTTCTTTGGGCTTACTCTGGTCTTTTTCTACTTTCCTGGGTGGAACACATAGATATTTACTTTTGTTTTTTTCTTGTTTTACATGCATGTTTTTGTAAGGATAGAATTTTACCACTCAATATTGCTTTACAACAGGGTTCAAAATTTGCTTTGTAGCATTTGGATTGCAGTTAATTCTAAATATTGTATCATTTTGATTGTGATTTTTCTATTTAATTCATGGCTTATTTAAAAATTAGTTTTCAGTTTACAAACTTTTTTTCCTCCTTAAGATTGTTGAGATTTAATTTAATTATTTTCAGTCAAATAATCTGATGCATGAATGTTAATTCCTAGGAACTTATGAGACTTCCTTTGTGACTTAATAATTCATCAATTTTTGTGTATGTTCCCAAGAGAAATGAATGTTCTTTTTTGCGGTCAGGGTAATTAATCACATTTTTCAAACTGATTGTGATCTTACTAAGTTTCTGTCTTCTTGACCAGTCAGCCTCTGAAGAGATATCTTAAAATCTTCTCCTTTGGCTGCATGTTTATTAATTCTATGTAATTCTCTCTTATAGGCACTGAAGTTCTGTTTTTTGGTGTATTCAAGTTCATGAGTATTGGTTCTTCCTGGAAAATAATTCCTTTTATCGCTTTGTAGTATGTCTCTTTATCTCTCAGTTTCTCATCTTAATCTTATTTGTCAAATATCAGTATAAACATTTTTTTAAAAGTAGGCTTCTTTTAGTATATATTTTTCTGGTATATATTTTACCATACTATTATTTTTGGATTTTTGTTTGTTTTAGTGTGTTTCATGTAAGGAACATGACAACATATACCCAGATTTTGTTTTTGTTATGCCATTCCAAGTGAATAGTGATTCTTTGATGAATGAGTTTAATGTATTTATATTTAATGTGATTATTGATATATTCAGATTATTTCTGCAATCCCATTTTGTGTTTTGTTTTTGGGTGTTATGTTTTATAATTTTAGCAGAAATATACAAATTTTACATGTTTATACGGTACTTATATGATGTTTTTGTACATCTATATATTGTATAGTATCCAATCAAGGTGAATATATTTAACATTTCTTTATAGTGAAAACATACAAAATCCCATCTTCTGGCTTTATTTCCGAGAAATATAAAGTACATTATTGTTATCTATAGTCACTCTCCTATGCAAAAGAACTCCAGAACTTCTTACTCCTAGCCATCTGTGTAGCATATCAATCAGTGTTTCCTTTTCCCTCTCTGCTTTGCTCCTTAGTCTCTGGAAATAACCACTATATATATGCATGTGTGTATACACATATGTGTGTGTATTTATATACATATATGTATGATTTATTTATTTATTTGAAAGGCAGGGTGACAGAGAGAGAAAAAATCTTCCATCTACTGATTCAGTCCCCAAGTGCCTGCAACAGCACTTGGCTGATCCGGGCTGAAGCCAGGCGCCCAGAACTCCATCTAGGCCTCCCACGTGTGTGACAGACAGGAAAGGTGTGAAGCACCTTCCACTGTTTTCCTGGGTGCATTAATAGAAAGCTGAACTGGTACTTGGATATGGGATGCCAGTAACACAAGAGGAGGCTTAACGCACTACAGTACAGTGCTGGCCCCACCACCACTTCATTTTTAACTTCTATGAGATCATCTCTACATACAAGTGACATCATGATCATGTAAAAGTGTCTGTGCTTGGCTTATTTAATGTAACATAATGACCTTCATTACCCTCCATGTTGTTGCAGATGACAAGATTTCATCCTTTTTATGGATGAATAATATTCCATGTGTGTATATTGCATTTTCATTATTTATTCATTGGTGGATGGACAATTAGTTTGTTTCCATTTCCTGGCTATTGTGAACAATGCTGCAATAAACATGGGAGTGCAGATGTTTCTGTGGCAGATGGATTTCATTTCCCTGTGATGTACATACCCAGATGTGAGATTGTAGAAACATCTGGTAGTTCTAATTTTAGTTTTTGATGGACTTCCATACTTTCTTCCACAATGGCTGTACTGATTTGCGTTTCCGCCAATAGTGTACAAGTATTCTCTTTCTTCCACATCCTCACACACACTTGGTATCTTTAATGTTTGTGAGAATAGCTAATCTAACTGGAGTAGGGTGGCATTTTCCTTGTAGTTTTATTTGCATTTCCCTGGTAACTAGTAGTATTGAGCTGTTTTGTATATTTTACTCATATTTTTCCCCCTGCTTCTATTTATTTCCCTACCTTTTGGCATTAATGAAATGTGTTCACTTTTCTCACTCTGCTAATTTCAGAGTTATAACTTATCTTTCTATTTTAAGTAATTGTCTTTTATATTCCACGGTATAGTAAAATATGAAGTAATTTAGTACCTGTGATATTTTTTCCAGGGAAAATCCAAATATTTCGGCATACTGTAACACCTTTCAAGTTCTTTCCTGTGGTCTTTGATATTAGTATTGCACTGAGTCTTAGTTCTATCTTTCTGATTAATATAAAAATTGGGTCTTAATTTGTATTGTATATTTTTAGTGAATAAATAATTAAATTTACACTCTCTTTTGCTGTTATGTTTGCTCATCATTGCTGCTTACACCACACTCTGTCCTATAGTTAATTTTTATCTTTAATTTATTTTTTAATTTTTTTATTTTTTGACAGGCAGAGTGGACAGTGAGAGAGAGAGAAAGAGAGAAAGGTCTTCCTTTGCCGCTGGTTCACCCTCCAATGGCCGCCGCGGCCAGCGCGCTGCGGCCGGCACACCGCGCTGATCCGATGGCAGGAGCCAGGTGCTTATCCTGGTCTCCCATGGGGTGCAGGGCCCAAGTACTTGGGCCATCCTCCACTGCACTCCCTGACCACAGCAGAGAGCTGACCTGGAAGAGGGGCAACCGGGACAGAATCCGGCGCCCCGACCTGGACTAGAACCCAGTGTGCCAGCGCCGCAAGGCAGAGGATTAGCCTAGTGAGCCGCGGCGCCAGCCCCTATAGTTAATTTTTATTTTCACTAAATTTCATCCTTTAATAGTTTTTTTCAGTGAAGTTTTGTGGGTAATAAACTGTTGCAGTTTTTGAACAACTAAAAATGGCTTTTTTTGTTCTCACTCCTGCATAATAATTTAATGAAGTATAGAATTCTAGGTCAATAGTTCTTTTCTTCTTTCTAGGACTTTAAAGTTATTGGTTCCTAGACTTTCAGTCTCCATTGTTGCTTGTAAGAAATGTGTTGTACCCATAAGTATGTGGTTTCTGACAGATGATCAGTTTCTCCTCTCTTGTTAGCTTCTAACATAGCTGCACTTTCATCAAGATCAGTTGAGCTGTAGATATTCTGTATTTCTTTAATTCTGGTAAATTCTGTTATTTTCTTTTCTATGAAATCCTACCTCCCGGCCTTTGCTGTTAGCACATACTTCTGGAACCGCTCTCAGGTGAGTGATGAAGTCTATCAACGCTGCACTTCATCTGTGCCTAAACATTTGCCCATCTTCTCCTATCCTGTCCTGCTGCCTTTACTTCTGCAGGTTTTACCTGAGAACAACCTGTCTATGAAGTACTTGCTTCTAAGAAGCTGTGCTTCTAGGACCCCCAGCTAAGTAACTTCTCAAAGTCACATTGTAGTCAAGTACTGGAGCCACTGTCCTAACCTCGGCACTGCAGCGCCCACGGGAAAGGGGTTTTCAAGTTGGGCAGGCAGAATGGGGTCAGTAGTGTCCCAGCCACAGATGCGCTGGACCCTCCTCTATGCTACCTGCCAGCAGCTCTCAGCGGACAGCCTTCCCCAGCCGCTACTCTCCTGCCGGAACGCGATGGTCTGCAGGCCGTGGCTTGGCTGCAGGGCTGCTTTCCTGATCCTCCTGCTCCTCCAGTTGAATGCCACACCACCAGTGTCGCTGAACTTCTTCGGCTCTGTCCGCCTTGGGGAGCGTGGGAGTCTGGTCGTCCTCTGTCTTCTTTTCAACCTCTTGTTCTGGCACAGATGCTGTGCCCTCCTTCCTCTAAAGCCTTCTCTTTTTGGTTCTTAAAAGCCTTTTCTTTTCTGAAAATCCTTCCTCTTGCATTTCAAAAACTTTGGCTTTCAAAAGTATTGTTTCAGATCTGGGATCAAGAGCTTATTTTGGAAGTTAGAACTGAACACTGTTTCTTTCTGTATTTCAGCTCTCCTCATTCTCCTTCAGGATCTGTGGGAGCTCTCCTGGAGTAGGAGACATGCAGACGCTTGTATTTCAAGATGCTTTCCTGTCGTGGTGTTCAGATGCACCAGCTCGAAGCCTGGCGTAGAGTAGGTATGCAGTGCGTGTCGCCAGTGTGCCTGCTATACTGATTATTTTCATCAGCAGCATTTGCCAGTGCAGGATTTATTCCCACAGATTGCTTCTTTGTTTTGATGAGCTCCTGTTTCCCCAGAGCTAACTGCTGCACAGCCCTAATCTCTTGCTGTGTATAGATATCCAGTGGCCCAGGGCCATGGCTCCCTTTACAGTTTCTTCCAAGGACCTTGGTAGACATGGCACTGAACTCCTGCAGATGTGTTGTTCTCCCTACATTGTTGTTGAATCCCATTGAAATAAGCACAGCCATCCCTTGCATTGCTTCCCTGTTGTTTTTGTTTTGCTTATTTCCTGTTATTTTTCTCAAAGATCTAGTATAGTATTTCAATTTCTGCTTTCAAAGCCAAAACATAAAAAGGCCTAATCAAAATTTTAACAAATTGTTCAACTGTATCAGATTGAGGACTAGTTTCCTGGTCTTGTATTTATGGGGTTGTGAAGATTGGCAGAACAGAAATAAAAAAAATTTGCAAAGAAGTAAATATATTGAATTGCTTCATGTAATACTGACAAGTTTTTGCTGATTTCACTGGTACTGGAGCATATATGGTGAGTAAAAGGAACTGTAAGTCATTTGGTTTGTTTCCTACATGCATTCTTAGTTTCCAAGAGGAATCACAGAACCGTTCAGTCATGCCCTGCATATGACATCTTGGTCAAGAGCAGACCACATGTATGGAGATTTATCACTTAGTGACATCCTGCTTATTTTAGTTTAAGGACACTCTGATGTTCACACGGGGAGAAAATCACCTAATGACTCCTTTCTCAGAACACATTGCTGTCATTAAGCAATGCATGACTGTATTTGATTGACAGTTCTTGGGGATATCCCTACCACAGCTTCTCCATCTCTCAGCTGCCCCATACAGCAATAAGATGGCTAACAGTGAGTATTTACTCTGTATCAGGTGCTATTGTAAGCTCTTCGCATGTTTATTCACTTAACTGAGTAATTCTATGTACTAGGTAGATGTTATCATGACCATTTTCCAATGAGAAAATTGATGCACAGAGTGTGATGGTAGGACTCTCACCTCTGGCTCATGTTTCTGTTCTCTTCCAAATCTTCCAGTAAAAGCCCTGAGATCTTACAGCTTCTTACTGTTATTTGGTGGTACCTCTTGCATTTTTGCAAAGCCTATTGTGCTTATTGCAGAATAAGGGTTAAAAAAATACAGTTGTCCCTCAGCATCTACATTTTAATTTTTTGACAGGCAGAGTGGACAGTGAGAGAGACAGAGAGAAAGGTCTTCCTTTGCCGTTGGTTCACCCTCCAATGGCCGCCGTGGCTGGCGCGCTGCAGCCGGTGCATCGCGCTGATCCAAAGCCAGGAGCCAGGTGCTTCTCCTGGTCTCCCATGGGGTGCAGCGCCCAAGCACTTGGGCCATCCTCCACTGCACTCCCAGGCCACAGCAGAGAGCTGGCCTGGAAGAGGGGCAACCGGGACAGAATCCGGTGCCCCGACCAGGACTAGAACCCGGTGTGCTGGCGCCGCAGGCGGAGGATTAACCTATTAAGCCGCGGCACCGGCCCAGCATCTACATTTTCTGTGTATGTGAGATATTGAAAGTATTCAAGAAAAAAATTGCATTTCTATTGAACATGTATAAATCATTTTATCAGTATTTTCTAAAAGATGCAATTATAACAACTATTTATACCATATTTATAAAATAGTATTACTTATTATGAGTAATATGGACATGTTTTTAATTGTATAGGAGCACATAAACAGGGTATATGCAAACACTACAGTATTTTCTTTAAGAGACTTGAGCATCTGTGGGTTTTGGTAATGGAGGGGTTCTTGGAACTGATCCCCCAAGGATATAGAGGGACAACTGTGTAGGTATATAGTAAACTTTGAGAAAGAATTCTTAAATCCTTATGGCTCTCAATGGGATTCTAGATTTCTCAACTCTTCTAACTCCTTGATCCTATTTGTTTTGCCGAAGACTTACCATGTACATGATCCTGGTTTTCAGAGCTTCTTTGCAAAGAAATTCAGAAACCAAAGGCTTGCTCTAGGCTCTGCAGTTGGTTCCCTGAGCCAGGGCTACCAAGTGAGAGCAAGGCAGGCTGAGCAGGAATAGATTTTGTACTAGGGAAAAGGGTGAGGAGTAGTCCTGAGAGCATGAGAGGACCTGCAGCCTCAAGTCCAACGAAGCACCTGGAAATCAAAAATTGGATCCAAAGCAAATTAGCAACATTATGGAATTGGCAAGTAGTCAGAGGGTGTGGGAGGCCGAGCCTGGTTGTGTCTACATGTGGGCGTCAGGATGTGAAGACTGTTTAGCACCCCTGCTTGGTCTGTGATTTAGACCTAAGTCCTGGGGTAGGGGGAAGGCTGTGCCCAATCTACCCATATCAGGGCCTCCTGTACTGGCACTGGAGCTGTGCTTTCCATTTTGCTTCACTGCACAGTCTCATGGGAGGATTTTGATGCATGAGGAATGGAACCCAAGTAGGAAGGATGAGTGGGGTCTGTTTTGAGGAGTGTCCCTAAGTCAAATGCAGAAGTTTCTTATGAAAAATAGGGTCACCTGCTATCCAAGGCATTTTATAGTCAGAAATTGAGTACTTTTGTAATCTGGATGGGACGTAGATATGGGAGGATTACTTTATTCCTTTCTCTCAGGATTTATTTAGTAATTGCTTACTTATCCTCCCTCATTTTTCCCCTGGGGAACCGGGAGGCAATCTGAGAGTCTGCAAAGGGCTATTGTATTCCCGCTGTGTGGAAATCTGCAATGCCAAGTCAGGTTGTGGCTGTCATGCCCAAACCCCTGTTCATTTAATCCGCAGGATTTCTTTCGGTCGAGTGTGTTATATCCAGAATGTTGCATCCATGTGGTACACAGGCTACTTTTACTGCATTGATTTCATTCTTGAAAGAATTTTTAGTTTAAATTCTTCAGATTTTTGTGCTTTCTGTTTTTACTTTGATTTTTGTTTTGAATAGATTCTGCTTACACAAGTCTGTAATATGATGAGTAGGAGTGAATCTAGTTACTCATCATTTAGAAGACATTGCTCTATATTTAGACAATCATCTTAGTCATCTCAATACTCAGCAAAGAAAATAATGCCACAGTGTAGCATGCTGAGATCAAGACAAAAATCGAGTTTCTCACCCCTCCCCTATATCTTGTTAAATCATCAAAAAATGTGACCTAAACATGCAATTGCTAGAAGGGCTCCATGACATGAGAATTGTGAGGCATGACTGTTACCATGTTAGTCTGTAAATAACTAATTTGAAAAATTAATATGGCAGTATGAACTGGCCCAGCAGAATGCCTGTTTTCAGCATGGCTTGACTACACAGCACTGCTAGGTTTGGGCAAGATACCTTCTCTAAGGTTGAATTAATTTTTTCTTCTTCCAAATGAGTATGGCTGGAGCCTACTCTGTGTTGCAGCAGATTTAGGCACTGAGACATCAGCATCCCATATCAGAGTGCCTGTTGGGGTCCTCTGATCCAGCGTCCTGTTAATGTGTCTGGGAAGGCAGCGGATGATGGCCCAATTGCTTGGATCCTTGCCACCCACATGGGAGACCCTGATGCAGTTCCTGGCTCCTGGCTTCATCCTGGCCCAGTCCTCAGACGTTGTGGCCACTTGGGTAGTGAACCAGTGGATGGAAGATTCTCTCATCTCTCCTTCCCTCTCTCTAATGCTCTTATAAATAAATAAATCTTTTTAAAAACTAATTTAGCAGAGTTATCATTAGGATTAAATGGGAATAATTACTGCAGGGAATCTAAATTAAGTAACTAAAAGAATTAAAAGATCATTTATGAAAAGGTTTTTTTTAATGATCACACATAAATTAAAAATTTGTTGAATCAGTTGAGTGTCCATCAGTAAGAGAACTGTTAAGCACATTATTTAATTGCTTTTTGGCAGAATGTTTTGCAGCCATTACATGAAAACTTATAAAGATTATGCAGCAAAATAAAATAAATAAAAATCCTTAAACAATATAAATTGAAACCATAAAACAAAATATATGTATTGCATTATTTAAACCTATAAAATGAAATTCTGAAAGAACTAAGGGAGTTCACAAAATGGTAATAGGGTAGAAGTGTTATATATCTTTCCTACTGTTTAATTTTTCTATTAAAATTATTATATAGCTTTTATAATTAAAACACAGTAGTGTTATTAATTACTTTTATTTTTCCTATTTATGAAAATATGCTTACTTTAGAAAACAGATAATGCAGAAAATCATGAGGAATAAAATTAAAATTAACTAATGCTGCCATTAGTTTTTAACTAACGTTGTTTCATTTTTCTGTGTGCATTACATATGATTGATACATATATTATTTATGGAAGTGCTTCAAAAATTAATGGAAAAATGAAATGAAAAGATAAGTTTAGAGGCTGGCTTTGTGGTGCAGCTAGTTAAGCTGCTTGCAACACTGGCATGCCATATCAGAGAGCAGGTTTGTGTCTCAGCTGCTCTACTTTGGATCCAGCTCCCTACTAATGCACTTGGGAAGGCAGCAGAAAATGAGCCAAGTGCTTGGAACCCTGCACCCATGTAAGAGACCTCAATGGAGCTCCCAGCTATAGGCTTCAGCCTGGCCCAGTCCTGACTATTGTAGCCATTTGGGGAGTGAACCAGTGGATAGAGGAACACTCTCTCTGTGTGTCTTCCCCTCTCTGTCTCTGTCTCTCTGCCTTTCAAGTAAATAAAAAAATAGATCTTTTTAAAAATATGTTTACTTTAGTGGTTGCAAAATAATTTTGAAATCCTTGCATAGTTGTCTTATGATACACATTTTCTGTGAACTTGTTGAAGAATCTTTATATATGTGTATGTATAAATATACATATTTTTCCAGAATTAGCATTGCTTTACTTTGAATTTGCCTCTCAATCTGCTTCTCAGGCTGTTGCTTGCATCTCTTCTTTATCTTTGCTCTTCCCATACAAGCC